GATACCATATTGATGGTGAAATGAATGCAGGGGGAAAAAATCCAGCCTGGTCTGAAAGTGAACCTTGTATATAACACTGGTGTTTTTTGAGCAAAAGCTGAGAAAGATCCACAGGGTTTTCTCTGCAGAGATGTTTTTGGAGACATTACTGAGAATAATCTGTTAGAGTTGTGATTGACTTTGAAGACATGGTGACATACAGGAAAATTCACAGAAAAATAAAATAGTCCCTTTATTCATCAAATAAGAAAGGGAGGCATGTTTAAAAAAAAAAGGAAGCAAAACATGCCCATTAACATCAACATTATGCCATTTATTGATGCTTTTACTGCTGTAAATATGTCCCCCATAAGGGATGTTGAAATGCAGAAGTATGAGGTCACCCTGTACAGTATAACAGCTCAGGCCACTGAAAGGCACAGCTCCTCTAACCTCTTCCCACCTTTCTCATCTCTTCCACTAACTTTCTGTCAGCTCAACAGACAACCTTTAAGAACTAAGTTGAACTCCATGGGAAAAAATCAGAACAAACAAAACTCCCAAAAAAACCAACCCAAAAAAAACACCCAAAAACCAAAAACCAAACCAAATGAAAAAAAACCCACAAACAACAAACAAGCAAGTGGACATTTTGCTACTCTTTAACTGAGTTAAGGCAAATCAAAAAAAGATCTGCAAATCTTCAGGGAAGCAAATTTGTGAGACCAACAGAGCTGTGAATCAGGGAGAGGAACAGAAAGAACACCATGTAATGGGAAATAGCTGGGAAAAAAAGTAAGTTAAAACATCTAAGTAGCATATTCTCCATTATATTTTTCATGGAAGAAATGAAGGTACATTAGTTTTATAATATTACTCCAAATGATGCATAATCAGGATGAAAGTGTTCATAATGACTAGAATCAGTATAATGATTTCTTGGAGGTTCACTCCTCCCTCATAGCTCAGCCAGCTTGTTGAAAAAGCCATTACCTGTGTCTGGACAGAGTTTCTTGTGAGATTTGCCTATTTATATTTGTAAAAGGCATACATATAAAACATGGTGATTTATAACATTGTGGCCAGAAATCCAATGTAAATGAAGTATTCAAAACACTTTCAGATTAATTTAATCCAAATAACAGGAAATCCAAAGAGGAGACAATTAAAATATGATTGTATAGTTTAGGTCCAAATGCAGCAGTTTATAGGCCCAGGACCCTGCATTTGAGGAGTGAACATTCAGTTAAATATTTGCTATTGACACCGCTCCGGATTCCTTATGGGACCAGCTTTGGAGCATTTAATGAAAAGGCCCATAGCTATTGATGCTAATTGCTGATCTCTGTTTCAGGATTACCCAAATTACTCCCTTTATGAGTATAGATATAGCTGCTCTTCTCCTCCTACAGGAGGAAATTTTCCATATCATTAAGATATTTTCTGCAGACACTCATCTCATGACTTGAGCAAGATAAACATCTCCAAGATATATATATTTCAAAGATCATGACATCCTTAGGCCTCTTTTTTTATTTTATCTGCTATAATAATTTGGTATACTGTTTGGGGCTAGCTATTAATAATCTGGATGGGAAGTTTGAAAAATGAAAGGCAAAGAAAAACTTTCAAGTGAATTTTTGAATACAGCACTCTGAACATTACTTAACTGGCAAAAATAAACTAAAAATTGCATTCAATATTTAACAGAACTTCATATGAACAGTTTGAATGTGTTTGTGTTTAAATGAAAATACCTCAAGAATAAAAACTGAAACTAATTACAGAAATATGGCAACATCAAATATTGAAAATTTCAGCTTCAGTTTTTTATTACGGTGCCATTTCCCAAGATTAGATTATATGAAAGCCTAAGTTTTTGTTTTTAAGAGATACACACTTGGTTACTTGACTGCAAAGATGTATATTTTGAACTAATAAAGGTTCAGACACTAGAAAGCATGTAATAAATATAAAATTTAAAATAACAACAAAAAAAAAAGTACAGAAACAAGACAGCTTCACCCTTGATAACTATCTCAAGATTTTTTTATATGTAGCATCACTTATAATGAAGATGGCCATATGACTTCCCTATTTACTACAAAAAACAAGTAAGATTATGATTATGTCTGTATAGAAGATCAAATAAAATACAGAAAATGTAATAGCACCAATAGCACACAGAATAATCTGGAAGAGAAATTTCTGAATTAATATAAAGTCTCATTAGCTATTGTTGCTTATCCTAAAAGCCTAGAAAATTACTATGACAGCTAAAATAGTAGGGTACAAAATACACAGTGAGAAGATAACATGGAGATCAGTGATAACAATCAGTTTCTGCAGTCTCTCCCACTCATGCATCACATGACACTGAGCTGCATCTGCACAGAACCCTAGTACAACTCCCAGGTATTTACATGGGTCTATCCTTGCTGCAGAAGTATAAATATACACTGAATAGGAAAAAACCCTGACTAAATCAAGATTAAATTGAAATTATCTCACAGTGAAAGATAGCAGAGGACCACCCTATGATTTACCATCTTCTGACATGATAGCTCCTTTCATGCTCTGTTGTGTGCCTTTAGAAACATTTGCATGATCAGCTTTTGCCAAATTTTATCACTTGGTATTTAGGATCCAGACCGTTGTGCCAAAAAAAAAAATTGCCCATAGTAATGGTCATGCTATACTGATCAGCACAAGCAATGCCACTTATCTGGCCAATAGCTCTTAAAGAGCTATTGGTCCCAATTCTCCCAGAAAAATGCAATAAATGGCAATGTTAATCCCTTTAGGATATTTTGTGGCATTATGACTCTGTTTATTCTCAAGCATTTCATTTTCAGAGTACTTATACTTTCTTATTTATTATATCGATCAACCTATTGAACCAAATTATTTGGGATTAAGAAAATTATTCCACAATGGTTATTCAGACAGAACAGAGTTCATTTCCACCATGTCCAGGCTGTATCTCATCTCCTCAACTAGATATACTGAAGATGCAATGTAGAAGGCCAGGTTCTTAGCCTCAATTTCTTATTGTGGTTATACTCAGGTGAACAATGTTATAGTACGCAGTTCCCTATGGCCAGACAACAGTGCTACCCCCACCCCTTCCCAAACACATCCAGTGATAGAACAGATTTGCAGGGATTATACACTCCAACTACTTGTCAAAATGGTACTTGTTTATTAGAGCAGTATATTACAGCATTTCACTAAATATGGACACTCCACCTACAGCTTGCACTAAGGTCTCTTTACACTGAAATTTTGCTTGTACTCCATAAAGATCACCTTCAAGATGCAGATTACAGTAGTTGTCTGTAGATACAGATCACAAGTGATAGCGTCCTGCCTTCTATGCCCAGCCCAAATTTTGAGTAAACTGGGACACATAGAAAAAGTTTGAGTAGACAGATTGTAACAGATAAGAAATAACTACAAGACTAAGATGAACTGCTAAGACTCTGCAAACATCACACAAAATGGCTGACCTGGTAAAAATAGGCCTTACTCTTCTCTTACACATCTGACTACACCAGAGTTACCCTGCTTTACAGAGAAGTTCTATGAGGCTAAAACTGATGCCAGTTAGATCTGGATCTGGCCAAATGCCTACAAATGGAGTAGCTTCAGATGCTGGCTTAAACTGAAATGGCAGATGCACTGTCACATGGCAATCAGGAAATTAGTTCTGCTTTCTTTCCCAAATTGCTACTGACCCCAGCCATATCCTTATGTCAATAAGGAGGTGTGAAAACAGGAATCTGATAAAAGAGTAGACTCTTAAACAGCTTAAAAATCTGTTTTTTAAAATTGTGGTTTATCAGCAAAAGTTAAATATCTAGTAGCCTCGCTTCAATACTATTTATGTCACTAAAAGCAGTTACTAAAAATTTTGAGCTTTTTCCCCTGGCAGTTTCTTCTGTCTTTAAGTGCACAAAAACTAAATAAAAATCTTTTCAGACACAAAAGAAGGCTGAATGCACTGTAAATAACTGACCCATTTCAGGCTTTCTCTTCCATTGTGCCTAATTCTATCTTCCAGGATAAATGGAGAAAAGACTGACTAATCAGAGAAGCTTTTACAGTTACAATGGACTTTTAGGACAGTTGCCATGCATTGATGCTTTTGTAACAGCAGGGGCTTGGGCCAGCAGCAAAAGTACCTTACCATTTTCCCAGATGATCTAACTCATTGACCCCACTAGGGGAAGAGCAACAGCAAAGCACAGTACAACCTGTCAAAAAGTGGCCTTTTGTTAGTAAGAGGAAATGTACAAGTCAGTGAAAAGGAAGGGTTTATAAATCTTGAGACCACAGAACCACTTTGCCAGTGATTTTGTTGTACAACTCCAAGAATTTCAGTACGAATGCATCTAGTACCAGAAACCTGCAGCCTGGCTAAGGTTGCTCTGCGTGGTAGCTAATCTTGCCTTTTCAAGGCTTGTTCTTTTGAGCAAGAAAATACGCCCACAAGAGTCATTTTGACAAAATAGTTTTATCTGCCCCAGGTTCTTTCACCTGAAGAAAGTATTGTAGTCAGCAGTTTTGTCACTAAATATCCTTACTATTCCCATTTCCAGAAATCTTTTTTTTTTTTTTTTTAATAGCAAAGACAAATCTTGAATGGTCCAAGGTCATTACTGGCTGGCAAGTAAGCTACATAAATTTAAAATTGTAAAGTGTTGTGTGTGTGGTACAAGACAAGACACACCTTGAAGTAGACACATGACCAGGTCTCAGCTGAAATAGACAAATCAAATAAAGGAGGTCAGCTGCACCTTGGCATGCTTCAGGAAGAGGAAGTCCTAATGACCCCATATTGAGCTTCTACTATGGGCTGAAGGGCAGTTAGAGATGACAGCACAGCCAAACTCTTGTGAGCAGTGGTAACTAAACATGGACCAGAGGCACAAGCTGAGCATTGAGGTGGGCATGTCACAAAGCTCACCACCAAGAGACTACAATGAACCAATCTAAGAGGGCCATGCAACAGTGAGACAGGTTACCCAGGGTACTCAGAGGGATTCCGTCCTTGGCAGTTTCCAAAATCAGAGCAAGTGGTGGCAATAATCCCTGTTTAAGGAAAAGACTGGGCTTCAAGCCAACCCTTCTAGCCACCCTTGATATTGGGAAAACAGTGGGCTAGATAGCCTGTTTAAAGGTGTTGAATAAGCTTTATTAACCTTTTGTCAGAGTCAGGCAAAGCTAGGAGGGGCAAGACACCCCTGTGCTGGAGGGCAGTCCCTCTGTCAGGCCAGGGAAAAGGAGACTCCAGAGAAATGTCTTGTGACACTGAAATGTAATAAGAGAGTCCTGTCATTACTGGGACAAAGCAAAAGTGACAGGTAGAAGGAATTAGATTAGTAAATGAAGTGAATAATGATTTTTTTCCAGGTCTTCTTGAAAAAGGAATGACATAGACAAACCTGTTACGGAAGTGAAGCACACTGACCAGTGTAAAAACTGCCATACAAAATGGGTTCCAGGATAGAAGCTTTGTGGAGTACAATCTGAAGGAAATGTTGTCTAGAACAGCTATGTGTGGCAACTTCCTTTCCAGAGTTATGACTTAAATAGACAAAGAATTTCCCAAAACAAATAGATAAAAACCATTTTATGGGCTTAATATCACCACTGTAGTAGAGACATGAGTCACATTCAGAGGGACTTTTTACACTTTTAATATTGTAGATTTTAAGCTATATTTATTAAAGGAAGAAAAAATAGACTATCCTTACTCATTTAACCTGTTCTTTCATAAGACCTGTTTCAGATAGTAAAATTAAGTATAGACACCTAAAAAAGTAATTTTCTTTGAATAGCCAAGGCTGCTTGGAATAAGCCTTTTGTCCCAGTCTTGCTGCATATCATGCAGATATCACGCTTATGCCATAATATCTGTAGCTAATTTCCTTCCTTGTTAAGCCCAGATCCTCTTCCTTGTTTCAGTCAATTACACTGTGTCACCCAGGCTGATTGATCCCAGACAAATGTGACAGGACCTTTGAGAGTCAGTCTGGCATCGAGTGATCTTCTGATGACACGGAGTGGTCGCGTCAGTCCGTTAGCTGTGATTTAGAGGAGTGAATGCTCCATTAGGCTCTCCCTATTTCTTAATCCTTTCTTCCAGAGACACTGGCAACTGCCCTGCAGTGGACAGGGAGAGAAAAAACACTCTCCAGGACAATTGTGCTGGAAAATATGAGACCTCTCACTCAGCTTCAGTGATTGCAAACAAGAGATAGAGAGACGTCACTCCATCAAAACTAGACTGCTGTAAGGAACAGTGGAGTTGGAGCCAAGGCTTTACTGTCAATAGTACAAGCCAATCTTTTTGTCTCATACAAGTCCTACTAGTTTGTGACATATTAATCATTATTACTTAAGCAATTACTTAAGTATTTCAGAAATTGTTTGAGAAATTAAAAATAAGCAGAGGCCCATCCTAAGAGAACGGGATGTACTGTGTTAAACTTCCTGCATGCAGGGAACGGGAAAGAAGAGAAAAGATAATTTTCAGCTAATTGTTTATGTCATATTCTTTGGCAGCTATGCCAATAAAAGCACTGAATAATGATCCTGAAAGGACCAAAACAAGAGAAATTACGTGTTCAGCAGTTCTTGTTATTTGAAATCCAGTAGTGTGCTTTATTTGCTTTTCAGCTTTACTTTGGTGTGGCCTTTCAAAAGGAAATAATCCTGTGAACAAAATATCTGGCCGAGAGACAAAAGGACTGCCAAGTCTGATCCACAGGTGATGAGTACTTGGCCAGCAACCAAACTTAGGCTAAATTAAATACAATTAAAACAGACAAAACTGTCCATCTGCTTGTACAGTTAATATAGACAGAGTGTAAAAAGGTGCTAATAATGACTAAAGAGAAAACCTTACACTACATGCTGAAGACCAAATGTCCAGCAAAAATTTCTGCCTTACAAAACAAGCCAAAGCAAAAAGCCTGTACAAAGGAACTCTAGCAAAACACTAATATGAAGTGCCAAATTTTTTCATGTTTGGTAGCAATGAAGAATAGAGAAATTTTTCAGCTCCTCTTTGAACAACAGAATTTGATCCTCAAAGCTAATATCTTTTCATTTTAATTGTAGTATCTAAAGGGATATTCAGGGAAATCTTAAGAGTATGAATCAACCTGAAGTTAGCATGTATGCTGAAATAATGTGAGCATCTTTTGAGTCCTACACATGCAGTGTGCTTAAATTTAAGTCCATAAAAAGAAGTCATATATCGAGAAGGAGGAATATAAATAATAAAGCATCATAACTACTTAAGCTTTATATAACTGAGATGCAATCTCTGTCAAAAATCTAGCACAGTTAAAAAAAATTTCCCCTAGTTTTCAGCCACATGTATACCAGGACATTCCTCAAATGACCCAATAGTACAGTACCTGTGTAACAGCAAGTGGGACACTCAAATTGAATTCTTTACTCTGACTTAATTCCACAGATTTTATTCAAATCCCCTCTGTCACATTTTACTGTACTGCTAAATCTGTCGTAATTTTCCACTGCCCATAACTAATCCGTGTGTCCCAAGCTGCGTGTTCATACTCCCCGATTTCCCTGTACCCTTAACACATTGGTTTAGGAAATCAAAACAAAAGACCATTCCTTTCTTTGCCAGTGTTATATGCCTTTGCTGGGTGAGATGCCTGAACAGGTTCAGAGTTAAGTGCTAGTGCTGGAACAAGGGAAGCAGCTGAGCACACAGCATACCAGGAATGAGCAGGGAAGCAGGACTGCCTCTTTCAACAATAGCCTGTGGTTCTGCCTCCTGAGTGCTATCCTAAAACTATATCTTTAATTTCATAACTATTTCAAATGAGACAGTTGTAGGTTGATGCCAAAAAACAGGTTGATGCCTTGCTCACTCCTTTATTCCTGCCAGCATTCAGGCAGCCATGCAATGAGCCACATTTGCAAACTCATGCTGGGTTTGGTTATGATTTTCTCCATTAAAAACATGTTTATAAAGACAGGAAGAATGGGAATACTTTTTGGATATTCAGGAGTTTTCACAAAGTGATATAATTACTTTCTCTTTCAAAGAAGAGATGTACATTTTAATTTTCATTAGACAAGGACAACATTTTACACACATTTAGATAATTATCCCAAAACAGAGTAGCAAAGAATTCTTTCTGTGAATAGAAACTAATTTATATTTCACAGATGTCAGTAATTTCACTAAAAACATATAAGAAAATAACAGCTAGTTCTTTTCTCTGTTTACATCCACAAACAGTGGCTACTCATCAGAGATTAGGCAAGATTAGTTAAAAGAAAGTAGCAGGACAACATAATGAGTAAAGAATTTTAGGAAGTTAATGTTTCTGGAAAATCCATCATCTGAGTGCAAAGTTTAAATACGCTTCCTCCCATGCCCAGCCTTAGTAGAGACAGATTAATTTCTTGGATCATTTTTAAAAATTTGTACTGAATCACTGGTAAATATTTCCGATAAGCCTTTCTACTTCATCAAGTACTCTAACAAAACAAGCACAGAAAGCAGCAAGTATACGGCATGATTTCCTTTCTCAAAACCAGACGATTTAGAATATTACCCATCCCTCAGGCTGGATATTAATCCTCATTTTTGAGAGGAGTAAAATTCTTATTAATTTTTTGAGAAGAGTAAGATTCTTAACTGTGGATATGCTCCAAGGGGGAGGTGAGCAGGGTTGGCTGGGTTTTTTCTCAATGTGCCTATCTTCATGCACACAACTATCTTACCAGAGGGTTTAATGCATTCTCTTAACCTCCAAAGGTCTGGGCTTACGCAAAGCTCCTGAACTCTGTCATTCCAGCTCAAAGCTGTTTATGCCAGAGAAATTGCAGGGCAAACACACCAATCATAACTTTATCAGCCCCAGACCCACAGCTCTGCATCACTCACTTTTATTACTGAAGAGTTTGGGCTCTTATTTTTCCTTCTTTTTTTAGGTTGTGCTAATTAAGAGAATCCAATGAAGTATGTTGCACAATTTCTCCAGTAGACCCCCAAGGGCTACTATTTCAACTAGAAGGCAATCTTATAAGCAGAGTTATTATTGGTAGGGAGAGATTAGCTTGCCTCCAGTAGTACTGGACTACTGATAGCCAGAGGTACAGGCACAGTGAGCACACCAGCATGGTATGAGAAACCAGCCAGGATTGCAAATAAAGCTGTGCTGCTAATGAGGAGCTGGAGGAATCAGAGCATGAGGAAGCACCAAATTAAGATGCCTTCCTGTCTCAGCAAGTCTCACGTTAACTGCCTCAAAGGGCCAAGTACCTTTAAGTATCCCCATCACCAGCATTATATTTACTTCAGGTCTTACCCAGAACTTTCTTCCTTCAAACCTCAGGTCACAACCTTTAATATTTTGCTCAATGGCTAAAAGAGCAGGTGCTTGCATTTTATATAAAAATGCTGTTAAAAACCAAGTGTACTACACTTGAAATATATTCTTGTGGCAAACATAGGTGAGCTACGGACTGACCGTCTCAATTGCCCACAAAATTAACACTACACATTAAGACAATAAAAATAATTCAATACTGGAATTAATCCAATATTTGAAACTTTCTTGATCTTTCTTTTCTACAGAAGGCAGATTAACTGAAAAAAAAATGTTAACAGTAAAAATCAAATAACATAAAAGGTTAATCACATGAACTATGTCTTATATCCTCTCCACCACAGACCTTTCAAGAGCACAGCCAGTGAAGGACAAAAACAGTGTTCCAAGAAGGAAAAGTAGCAAGTGTTTGCCTAAGGGCTGTCCAATTTATCCATACTTAATGAGTCTATAACTCAAATAGTTTCATTTTTATTTTGTGCTAAATTTAGGATCCTCAGAGTTACTAAATGCTTCTTGAACCCTATTCTGTTAGGCCTTAAATTGATAACTGTAATCTGAAATGATAGCTAGAAGGGAGGAGGAACATGATGTAGAGTGGACTTCAACATCTTCCAGACTGTATCCTTTTCTGAGGGGAGTAGGACGTGTGCTTGGATCCCTGCTCACTACTTGTCGTGTCGACACAAGGCTGCCTTTGCTGGCAGCACACAACCATCAGCCAGGCAGAGACCAGCAGCACTGCAGGAGCCATGCACACATTTTCCTTTACCCCCCACTAAACCCACCTGAGGGAAGGAGGGTTTTTGTCTTCCACTTCAATTGGTGAACACCCGAAGACCAACCCTCGGACACCCCTACTGAAATAATCACATGTTATGGAAAGACAGAAACTGTTAGAGATTAAGATAGGAGTAACTAGTATTTATTACTTCTCTGTAGGCTTCAAGTGAAACCACACTGATGAAGGGAACTCCCTCCCCACCCTCCACAAGGTAATAGCATCTCGCCTCAAACACGTCAGCTAACAAAGCTCCGTGTCAATCTAAATTCTTTCATAACCAATATCTGGCCAAAGCTTTACCCTCCTTTTACTTTTGCAATGGGAACTGGGGACAGCTAAATGCCCTGTGAGCAATCTCAGACAAGCCTTTTCGGAGTTAGGGGGAAAAGGATTGTGTCAATTGACTGTGAAATCCCATAGACTGTGTTCAAACAGTTCAAGATAGTCTGTGCAGTTAGGCAAAAAGCAGGCTACCTAAAATCGTCAAACAAGGCTTAAATCCAAACTTGTGGAAAGTACTTTCTTTTTCCCCATATTATATGAAGTCTATGAACACACTTCTAATTGCTTACATAAATTTGCTATTTAGAAAACTGGCCAAATACCACTTGAATACATAACATTGTAAAATGTTAATGAGTTGTACAATTATTAGAACTACAGCTGAACAAATACTAGTCCCCAGTGGAAATGGAAGACATCCAGTTGATGCAAACTGGTTTAACACCCTTCAGCACTGACTTACCCAAGTGAGGAATCTCTGTAGAGTTCAGACTTATTTACATCCCTTCTGCTGTTTCTATCTTTTTCCTTTAGCCAGTCTTTTAATAATGACAAACATGTTTCAGCTAGTAAATTGTCCACTGAATATTCAACACCAATAATATTTGTTATGTTAGCTATTAAATGGCCACAAGAGAGAAGCAGTTTTCCTATTTCCCAATGAGGTTGCTTTCAGGAATGGGACTTGAACAATTTTAGTCCAAGCACTTGTAGATTTAGAGGTTTGTGCAAACACTTGCATTCTGAGGTTATACTGATCAGAATTCTCACAACCAGTATTTATTAAATAGCAAATTCTACTGAAAACTAATCTGATCACTATAATTACTCATAGAACAAATACAATTTACATTGAATATATTTGCTAATGCTTTCTCCAGTAGCTACCAGATGCTATTTACAAGACAGAGGCTGAAATATTGACAGAAAAGAAATGAAACCCATGAAACAAGAGATAATAGGTGATCCTTCTATGAGCCTCTCATTATTTTCTGTCTAAAGATGAAACTAAGCATTAGTCAGTTATTTTTGTCCTAGGGCATCATACAGCTGTTACACAATACTGGACTGAACAAGTCTAACATCTCAAAGCTACAGAAAGATGGATGTCCTTCCTCCATATCTCCTTCCATTCACTTCCAGCTTCATGTTCCCTGCATTGACATAAATACACCTATCCTTACAACAAACTGCTTCAACTCACTGGTCCAGTCAAAAAAAAAATTAAAAAATAAATCCAAATATGCACAAGTTTTTTAATGGCTTTTTGTTGGGTTAGTGAATTTAAGCACCAGCCATTCTAGTGAGTCACAGAGCAAGCACAATGCAGAAGAAGTCAGATCCTTGAGG